AAATAATAAAGACTAACTTCTCTGAAATGATCTAGAGGCGGAAGGATAGCTCAGTGAACCAGTACAATTTCATCTAATCTGATTGAATGACATCCATTGAAAACCCTGCGAGGTTTATAACTGCAGATTTCGCATTTTCCCCTAAAATATTATTGAGGATAAATAATTATAAAACTTCTTGTCATTTAGGGCAAAAATCATGATTTTATTTTCTTTTTGGCTTATGCCCTGGGAAGTTGACCAATTTCCTTTATTTTCCACATCTTTTGGTTTCTCATCATCAAATGCTATAAGCAAAACAAATTATCCTTGGGTCAAAAGAGTTTTGAAACATTCAAGGCTTTCATAACATTCTGTATTCACTACTTGAACAAAGCCGCTATAGAAGCATATACTGATACTGGATATCAGTCAGTTTTACTGAGCAGAAGCTTACACTAGGAGGAGGAAGATGTGTCTGAGGGTGGGTATTCACTCTTAGGTTGACATTAGAGAGTTTCTGGAACTACACTGTTACTGAGCCAGAACCAGATTCAAGATTTTCTTTATGCTGGGGCATTTTGATGATTTCTATTTACAACTGCGGTCCTTGGGCATAAATCATGATTGTGGTGTTCAAACAATGTTTTTTATTAGTAGCAATTCTTAATATCCTTTTCCTCAGAAAATAATATCTAAAAAGACCTTAAGCATTGCTTTCCACTTTTCAATTTCATTGCATTCCACAGTCATTATTGAACGTCTGTTCAATGCCACGGTCTGTGCTAAGGGCTATAATATTAATGCAAAAATTAAAGGTACTATTTCTGAAATTGAGGAATAAATTGAAGATTGCATACACAAAAGTTTCATATTAGAGAGAACAAAAGCAATGGTTCTTATGTAATGATGTTATAATTATTTTACTTGAAAATAAGATTGTCCGGAGACAGTTCGTCTGCCTGGCAATTTGTAATATTTAGCATCTGTTGAATATTCACTGTTTGGCAGATGATACTTTTCTTGTATCTTTTAATACTTATACCTTACACCCAATCCCTGCTTTATAATAGAGGGGTTGAGGTCTCTTCGTTGAGTTGATGAGAAGCTAAGGGGTCAAACAACCTAATCAAGGCCACATAGTTAGTGCAAAAAGGCAAGGTTTTGAGCTCAGCTTTGCCTGTAAGACAAGCCCATATTTCTTACCCTTATAGTTTTTCACGAATAAGTCCATGTGTTTAAAAGTTGGTAAAAAATTCATAAAATGTGCTGGAAAAGTTGAAAATGCTGTGCTACTCAGCTTCTTCCTGATGGCTGAAGAGAGAAGAGCAATGGTTACCTAATGGTCATGTGGCCCTACCAGACATGGTAACAATTAATTCACACTTCTAGAGATGTCTTTTAATTTTTGCCCAGATCTGCCAGTACTGGCTCAAACCATTCCATTGACTCTTTTTCATCATTAAGCAACCCTGCCACTATTCAATTGTTTTTCTCTAATTTTATTTGCAATCAGTGCATATTTGTGGCTCGTGTTCCAGTGTGGAGTTTCCATTTGAGATGTTTCAAAATATTTGTTCAGGGGAAGATTTTAAGAGTACCTGAAAGAATGACTATGAAGATCCAAAAACAGGAAGACAGAGGCCAAAATCAAGTGACGATGTATTGCTTTTAGCTATAGGAACTTTATATGTATCCCCTATAATTCCTTAAAAAATGTTTTAGTTCCATGAGTTCTTATCAATATAAAAGGTTAGAGCAACAGATATTGGGATGAGAGATTCACTAACATCTTTCTTTTTTTTCTATTTTTTACATTATTTCTCTGGGGAGAAGAAAGGGATGTAAGAAATAGGATGGCCTTCCATGAATAACAAAAATGTTTCTAAGAATAATTCAGCATACCCTGTGGAATAAGAAGTATATATGTTTTATATCACAATTCTAATATAAATATATTAAATAATATGTGAATTGCAACACCATTCTTAGTCATTATACTTTTTCTTGTAGATAAAGGCACTTGAAGCTTCTTTTTATATTAACTGATTCTCTCTGTGTTCATCCTTGTTCTTGGCTCAAACCTCTCACACATAATAGAGCCATTGTTATTTGTAGGTTATTTGTGGCTTCTGCTAATGTATGATTCAAAAGCCATGCCAAGTGACACATCTGTATCAATTAATAGGTAGAAATATTTTTCCCTCAAATAAACAGTACAAAATTACAATAGCATTGCTTTTTTTTTTTGCATGTAAACCTCTTTTTTTTTTAACCTGAGTGTGCATCATCTCTGTTTTCTCCACTAATGCCATTTAATAGCCTCCTCCATCCTCAGATAAATCAATAGGTTTTCACAGTTTTTGATAAGAAGAGTTACTTCTTAAGTGGGGTTGGAGCTAAGGGTGAGTCTGTTGGGAGGACTGACAGGTGTTATGACATTCCCCGGGCAGGACAGTAACTGTGCATTCTTCATCGTCAACATTTACCTTAGTGTCATCATTGTGACTTAGATCACTTAATAATTATGGGTTAAATACAAACATTTTAATAATGCAAGGATTTTCCTCTTGAGATCATATGATGTCAAAACATGTTTACAATTTCTCTTTCAAGTACATAAAGAGGTAAAAGTTTAACCATCAGGACTGTCTAAAGATAGAATTATAGAGCCCTGGAGCTAGACTATTCCAGGCAGGTACAATTTCAAAGAGATTGTGGTGTACAAATAATGCTGATCCCTGCTTGCCTTTCTGCTATTTTCCTAGAAGAGCATTTGACTCTTCACCCCAAGGCTCAGTGTCTGGGGAAGGCCCCCAGTGCTCCCAGCTCACTGTCTGATCCCAGGCCCAGGTATTCCATGCGTCCCTCTCCTCTCCATGCCCACTAGTGTGTCCTTAGGATTCTTCAGGTGACTGTTAGTGTGCTCATCCCTGAGAATTGTGAAACCTGGGACAAGAGTATGGTGGGAAGCCCCGCTTTTTTTTTTTCTTGTTTATTATAAACCAGAGACTAGTAAATAAAGTACATTCCATCTTCCCCTTTGACAGATTTGTCTTTATAACATGGGGGCCTGAGTGCAATGTTAGAAAACTTTTGGAATCCTCAAGGATATGGTGGTGTGGAGAGAGAGAAGGTCCCAGCCGGGAGTCTCTCCAGCTCATTCTGTCCTGTACTATGCATGATCTTGCATAAGTTAGTGAATACTGAAGCCCACATATCTGGGATGTGTATAGTTTCCCTTCATCCAGAAGCACCCGGACCACCCATCCTTCCGAAATGCATGCACATTGGTGTCAACATCTGCTGTCAGACGCTGCTGTCATTGCTGTCAGATGCAGAACTGGAGAAGGTGATGTCACGGGCCCTGGTTGAGGACTTGGGGTGATTTGGGAAGGGAATCATGGGATCACAGAGTTTGAAGCACAGCCCAGAAGAGAGGAGTACAGACTTTTGAAGGATGTTTTCCTTGACTCCACAGACTTTGCTGGTGGTGCAGAGTGTGACCAGGGAAGGGCCAGAGTACTCAGGAATACTTACTGATTCCTTATGGCCACTTTTCCGGAACACATGCATGAACAAAGCAAAGTGGCCAACTTTATAAAACTATATTCTAGGAAGGGGAAAGACAGAGATTATAAATACTAATGTGATAAATAAATTTTTTGGTATGTTAGATGATGATAACTCCTAGAAAAATATAAAAATTAGAGCAAGGAAAGGTGGGGTAGGGCTGTAGAGTTAAATAGGTCTTATTTGCCAGAACCAAGAAATTGAGACTTGGGTAAAAACTTGAAGTTAGTGAGGAAGTTAGCAAAGAAGATAACGAGAGACAGCAACTGAAACCGTTCAGGGTATTTCATGAATGCCGCATGTAGAGCCAGGCTTGGCCTGTTGGAAGAATAACAGGCAGACCAGCGTAACTGGAGCAGAGTGAGCCGGGTCGAAAGTTGAAATGGGACACTGAACGAGAACCGATGACCAGATCATACAGTGTAGTGGAGTCACAGAATGAGGAGAGCCATGAAAACGTAATTTAAATTTTTTAGTATTTTAATATATATGTTTATAACTGTCATAATGATACTGTTCAATTTACTGGGAAAGTGTAACTTCAGATGAAGTTCAAAGCTTTTTATTGACATTGTTTTACTTTAAAATGTATCCCAATGCTTCAAATAACTAACTCACAAAGAACCACATTTAAGGGGAAGTAGTAAAATAAAAAAGTGTTTGTAATGAATTTAGAGATAATAATCAATTTTCAATGAACGTTTTGAGATACACAGAAGTCAAGAAACATAAATCTGTGTGGACAAAAACAGATGAAGCCCTCCCAGGAGCACCAGTAAGCCACACCAGGTGAAGATCGCAGAGGTGAATCAGAAAGGAGACTGTTGGATGTGTTTCTTGGAAGTGAAATAATGGCCTATCACACAGTCTCTCTCAAAACTTTCATAGTGACCTGCCTATGTGTTCTCCAAAGATGTACAGGGAAAATATTCCTGGAGAAATGTTAACAGTAAATACCAATATGCCAGTTTTAAATCTGTCCCACAGTCTACAAAAGAATGCTGCTTTATTTTACTTATGAAAAGCTTAACGATTTGCTTTTTTTATGTAAAATCTGATTGATGGCCCTGTGTTCTTAGCTCATTGTAGTCTGCCAGTGAACAAGGTCTTTATTCCTTTCATCATATTCATATGTCAGGTATGAAGAATATCTCATAAAACAACCATCAGCACACTCATGACTCTTTAAAAGAAATGCAACTTCAGGTGGCGCCTCTGGCTCAAAGGAGTAGGGCACTGGCCTCATATGCTGGAGGTGTTAGTACCTCAGATGGGAATCTAACCCTTTGCAATCTAGTATTATTATGCCAATTATTTAGAATATGCGGTGGAAATGAGTTAAAAGGTGACCTTTAGAGTTAAATACCTCTTTTATTTTATCTAAATGACTGCATATGCATCCTGGAAGATTAATTTTTTAACACAGGCAATTGTTTGTGTCTTTTCAGTCTATCAGAGAAGTCACAGGCTACGTGTTAGTGGCTCTTAATCAGTTTCGTTACCTGCCTCTGGAGAATTTACGCATTATTCGTGGGACAAAACTTTATGAGGATCGATATGCCTTGGCAATATTTTTAAATTACCGAAAAGATGGAAATTTTGGACTTCAAGAACTTGGATTAAAGAACTTGACAGGTAAGGAAAATATCCAAACTAACCAACACATTCATTGATATGATATATCACATGCACATATGTATGTGTGGTCACTGTAGTATGTGTTACGTTAGAGAACACTTTAAAACACTTAAACTTCTGTCGTTTATTCATTTTATGAAAAATGGGAGCCCTATGATGCTCTTTCTTTTATTCTTGGATTTTTTTAAGCACGTTGTGAGGGGTACCAAAATCCATACTGTATCTCAGATGAACAGAAGTACGCTTTAAGGAAATGACCAGTGACTGAAACTGAGATGGAAGCAGGTTTCAGAGTGTTGTGTTTGGTGGTTTCAGGTGAACTGTGGACCCTGTCATCAAATTGCTGCAGTAAGGCCGTGAGTCTCTTTAAAGTTTAGTAATGCCCAAGCTACTATACCCAGTGCCAATAAACTTTAGTTTCTGGACAGTCACCTTAATGTGGAATACATATCTAATTCATTTAATTTCTATTGCTCTTATTCATCAGTAGCTCACTAAATGCCATCAGTAATTCTTTCTCAGAATGCTTTAATATACTCAGAGTGATTTCTTCTAAGCTTAGAGATACATAGTGCTAGCAAAAAAAAAAAAAATATCTTCTTATTACACAAAACACTTATTAGGAGTTTGTTTTGCAGTTGCTTCTACTGGTATCTTTAAAATTCTTACAGTTCATAGTTCCTAAAGCTCTGGTGCAAGGCTTTTTGCTATAAGATGTCTCATCATGAATTTTGCCTTGTACACCTATAATCAAAATGTGCCAATTAGTAATTAATTTTATCTCACAGTGGGATAAAATAGTTTACAGAGCTGAGACTATTAATTTAACCCAAATCGATATAATTTTTATATTTATATCCAAATAAAGGGGTGATTTTACATGTATTTGGAGTTCACAAAGTGCTAATTGTTCTTGATGTTGAAAAAATGAGCATTTTAGAGTTATTGCCTTAAAATATTCAATAGGAAATGATTAATATTTTCATATTATTGAAATTCTTATATTCATAAAGGGTATAAAATTTATACTTTTACATTAGAAATAGCTTCATAGATAAAAATGTGAGATAAAATTGGAGATATTTTAGGTGAAAAAATTACTGATTGTTATTGATTTGGGGCATGATTGCTACAGGATTCATGAAATTAATGGTAATTGCAAATTATTCAGAATTTATAAAATCCCTCATCAATTTAGTTTTCTTTCAACATTGTTTTCTCTCTGAATTTTTTTTTTTTTTAACTAAAGTACTCCTTTTGTAGAAGTAATGATTGAAAAAAGGATCTTGGAACTGACAGGGATATAAAAAAATGGAATGATGGAAACTAGGAATCTGAAAATACTGTAATATAATCCAGTTAAGATCTGGATAGTAAACATCATGTTTTCTTCATGATGTTCCTCTGATCATATTAAAGAAAAATATGAATAATTTTTTCAAACTTTTTATAATACTTAAAATCTGTTATTATTATAGAAGATATACTATTTGAAGACTCTTATATAGAAAATAGGTCTGTAAGGAGTTCTTTTATTTATTTTCATGTTTAATATCAGCACAATGTGTTTTCAAAAAGTTATTTAATCAAATTTATATCACATTTAAATATACCTTATCTACTGAATGGGTTCCCATCATGTATGACTTGTGATTGTGACAGTTGTTTAACTTGTACCATACCAAAATATAATACTATTATTGCAAAAATATTATTCCTTTCCCTCTGCTACACAGCCTTGGTATTTTCTTGTATAGTAATAAAAATGAGTAAAAAGTGATTAACAGAATAAGTTTATTGTTTAGAAAAATATATAATTATCCAGAAGTTATTTCTTTTTGAATATGAATTAGAGTACAATAGAAATGGTAAGAAATTCAGACATTTTGGATGTTTTCCAGATTTTTATTTATCAGGTGGTTGACAATTTACATGTAAGGCAGAATTATACTGTGAGAGAGAAAGCCTAGGATCATTGTACTTACTTTAGGTATTCTGTTCAAAAATGTAACTCTAATTATGAGAAGCAGAAGTTACATGGCAAGCATGATTATGTTTACATGTAAGATTTGTAAGAAAGAACGTAAAAACCTTCGCATATGAAGAGAAATGTGGGATAAAATTTGCTTCATGGTAATACCTTAAAGAGCATGTTCTCGGTAACCTGATGAAAGCAACAAATAAGCATTGTAATTTACTTCAGATTAGATTGTTTTTATACTTTAGAAAGATTTTTATGTTGCTTGTTTGTATGTCATACAAAGCATGGTGATAATTTAATTTAAAAAAAATTAAGTGCAGGGAGACCAGATCGGGCTTAATTATACACTTACCTGGTATGATGTGGGAAGAAGCTGAAACTCTGCAGATTAGTCAAATATCTCACTGCCTAACCTAACATACTATACGTTCAGTTTTTATCTTTGAGGATTTGGTAACATTAGCAACATCTGGGAACTTGTTAAAAATGCAAATTCTTGGGTCTCACTTGAGACCTACTGAATGAGAAACTCTAGGGATAGAACCAAAAATGCGTGTTTTTAAGTATTCCTCCAGTGATTCTGATGATTATTAAAATTTGAGAAATACTAGTCTGATTAATTAAATATATGGTCCTAAGAAATGGTAGAACAATATCTAGTTAACCTCTTCACATTGATTTGATGCAAATAATTTTTAGTCATCTCTCCTCTTGTGGAGAAAGAAAGGGGATGGGACAAGCACATATAAATTTTTGATTGACTGATAAGAAATACCCTCTAGGTTGAAGCAAGAGTGAAAATAGCATACAGGGAGCCTCCAAGGAAACCTGTGGGCAGAAAGTGGCTTGGAGAGGTGGAAGATGCTGAGATAACCATCTTGCATAACTGTTTTGCCGAGTAGTAACTTTGAATAATGATAAACCATTACAAGGATAATCATAATTTCATTTTCAATCACTTGAAACAAAATAAATAACAAGTAGTAGTTCTAGGGATAGGGAGTACAAATAATGTTATAACAAAATCTAAAATTAAGATTTTGGGGGAATCTTTGGGAGTGTCTATATATGTACACACATATGTGCAAGTGTGCGTGTATGAGTGTACATAAAAATGTGTGTGTATATATAAGTAGAGAGAGAGAGAATATATATTTCTACTGAAATCCTTTTTTTGGTATTTGACATTAAAACAATGTGCCTTTCTTTTTTTAATCTCAATAGATTTAAGTGAAGAGTACAAGTGTCTTTTTGTTACTCAGATGGGTGAAGTCAGGCTTTTTAGTGTACTTGTCACCTGAATAGTGTACATTGTACCTGATAGGCCATTTTTGATCCCTCAACCACCCATCCTCCTGTTCTGAGTCTCTGAAGTCTATTATATAACTCTGTATGACCTTATGTACTCATCATTTAGCGTCTACTTACAAATAAATCATGTGGTATTTGTTTATCTGTTCCTGACATACTTCACTTAGGATAATGGCTTCTAGTTTCACCTGAGATTTGGTAAAATACAGTATTTCAGTCTTTTCTATGCTGTCTCTTAACCCAGTCATCAGTTGATATGCACTTAGGTTGGCTCCATGTCTTTGTCTTTGCGATTGTAAATTGTGCTATGATAAACACATGGGTGAATGTGTTTTTTTGATATCATGACTTTAATGACTTCTTGTCCTATGCATAAATACTCAGTAGTGGTATTACTAGATCAAATGGCAAGAACTCTTGGTTCTTTGAGAAATATTCATACTGTTTTCTTTAGAGATTTTACTAATTTACATTCCCACCAACAGAGTGTAAGTGTCCCCTTTCACCTCATCCATGACACTAATACTTTTTGACTTTAATAAAGTCAATCCTAACAGCAGTAGTTGGCCTCTCATTGATGTTTTAATTGGCATTTCCCTGAAGATTAGTGATATTGAGTATTTTTTTAATGTTTGCAAACAATTTGTTTATCTTCTTCTGAAAACTTCACATTTTTGGCCCATTTTTTAATGGAATCATTTGTTTTTTTCTTGCCAATTTGTTTGAGTTCCTTGTAGAGTCTGTGTATTAGTCTTTTGGTGGACCTGTAATTTGTGACTATTTTCTCCTGTTCTGTAGGTTTCAAGAGAATCAATTTACTCTTTTGAGTCTTTTGCTGTGAAGAAACATTTTAGTTTAAAATCAAGTCCCATTTATTTATTTATATTTATTTATTTATTTTTGTTGTATTATATACAACAAAACCCAAAAGGGTCTTAGTCATAAATTCTTTTTTTTTTTTAATTTTTTTTTTTCTGCAGTTTTTGGCTGGGGCTGGGTTTGAACCCGCCACCTCCAGCATATGGGACCAGCGCCCTACCCTTTTGAGCCACAGGCGCTGCCCCTTAGTCATAAATTCTTTGCCTAAGCCAATGCCAAGAACGTTTTTTTCCTAAATTTTCTTCTAGAATTTTTAGGGTTTGGGATCTTACATTTAAGTCTTTAATCCATCTTGAATTAATTTTTGTGTATACTGAGAGGCAGGAATCCCGTTTTGTTCTCTTGCATGTGATTGCCCCTTCTTTCCTAGCACCACGTACTGAAAAGAATTTTTCCCCCCGTGTATATTTTTGTCTGCTTTGTCAAAGATTAGCACACCTGTAGAACAGTTCATTTGCTTTCTGAAAAGTATATTGTGTATAAAAGATGTTCGTTCACATGAAGACTGCCACATTCAGTGGTTACTAGTTAGATGTTACTTAGACATATATAAATTAACTTCTACCTTAAATATTCTTATTAATTATCTTGATGCAGACAAAAAACTATTCCATGGCTAAAAACATGACTATGTTAGTTAGGTACTTTCATTTTAGTTATGACCACAGACAGGAAACACACGTAAACATATTTTCTGGCTAAAATGAAAAACATGTTTTATTTCTACCATTCACCTTCCCCTGGTCCATTATGGGAAGAGCGAGGTAGGCAAGAAGGGGCAGGTCCCTGGACTAAGAGTAGGAACACAATGTGCAAGGAAGTAAAG